AACTTGACTCGACTCGACTCGACTCGGAAGTCTCGGTAACTCGACTTGACTCGACTCGAAACCATTTCGAAATGACTCGGACTCGACTCGACTCGAAAAATGGCTTGACTCGCCCATCCCTACTATTGACTAACTCTTTTTGTAAAAAATATGATATGAGAACTAGTCTTTGCTTGATCTCGGCCAAAAAATAGTTCTGAACTGAAAGAAATTTGTCAGTATCATGTTTAAAATGATTTTTTAGCATTGACTATAAATTTGAAATGCTTCACTATGATCTTGTAAATGAGCTAGTTAGTTACGATCCTTTTCATGTCTTGAACGATCTAGTCGCTTATATTTGAAAACAATATTCTGAAGTAATTTTCCTTTTGATTTACGCAAGGCCACTCTATTTCAGCTAATTGACCGATGATCACCTGGAAGAGCGACTAGGCATGAGTATTTCACCATGCTGAGTCAAATCTGGCTAATTAAAGTTCGAAATACTTTGATGACGTCGGATTTCTTTCTGGAATGGTGGAAACCACAGGTCTCTATGATGTTCCGATCGAAAGCTATTAAAAAGATAGTGGAGCACGTTATACTTTGCAATGAATACTAGAAGCAGCACAAAACAACGGATGTCATTGTATATTTGTATTGGAATCATGGTTAGCAATAAGTGACATGATTCTCATTATATTTTATAATAAAAGATCGAATAAGTGTCTTCCACTTGAACTATTTAATCTTATTTCTATGATGATTCCTTCTTTTTTATTAGCCTGTATGACGATAATATATATAATAATGATCACAGGCAAATTTAATGTTTACGAGTTCAATATTGTGTTTTTTTTTCTAACCTGTGTATGTTGAATAACAACACCATGGAATTGAATTCGTTGAAATAATGAACCATAAAATTGTCCTTTTTGATAATCTCTTTCTGCCACTCTAATACCATATGGTGTACGTTCAAATGGTACAGGTGATGGTAAAAATCGATGAGGAAATACTTCAACATAATTTGAACGCCATGGTCCACGACATTCAACTGAATTACAACGAATTATTTGTAATGGATATTGTGTT